ATTTTCTGTTTGAAAAACAAAAATATTTCCGTACATAAATGAGTGCCACTATTGACACTTTTGATTTAGAACACATGTTGCACTTTATAAACTCTATCAAACAGTATATTTGCAATGTTATGAGCTTTATGTTTTTTTTTAAGAAAGGTTTGGGCAAAGGTAGTTACTGATATATTATTCCTGGATGTCCATTATTTTAATACCAAGTGTCTCCTGTGTGTTTCTCATCTAGACGTGAAGCGGTCGGCCCTGGGGTTGCTGTTATGGGTAGCAGTACTCACCACATGGATTACTATTTTCCAGCACTTCAGAGCAGAGTGGGGGGAGGTGGGAGATTACCTCTCCTTTACTATCCCATTGGGCATTCCTTGAGACATTTTTCCTGTGTCAGGTCTTTTGACTATAACTAATGATCCACTATATTGGACCAAAGAATTCTCCTTCTTTAACTACAGTGAAAGATTCTGGTGATTTGTCTGGTCTCTGGAGCTAAATTCAATGGCTGAGAAACGTTAAAGTAATCACTCATGTCTTCAAAAGATAAATGCTGTAGGATTTGAAAATTCATGTTTTTGTGCGTGCCAATGCATTTGAGAAAGTTCTTTGGTTTTAGAGTAGGCTGATTAATCTTGTATAGCAGACGATGTCAACTGTCATGACAGTATCTAATGATGAAGCTGGATGTGCTTTCAGGAGCTCGAACAATAGATTCAACAAACTGTTTTTTTCCTTTGTCTAAACTGTGGAGTTAAATGTTGATGTGTGATTGTGCACCCCAAACTATTTTTACCTGTGTATGAATGATGGATTAAAAAAAACAAAACAATAATGTCTCCAAGTCATAATGTTTTTCTCCATGTATGACTTTTCCCCTGGCAAGCACTAATACTCCTGTTGGTATATCATTATCCCACTAGGATCTATGCATCTCTATGGACTTGTTTGATGACACATTGAGGAGGAATTTCCTCCATATATATACTCCTAATATTTAGCATTGTTTCAGAAGGCTCCTAAAGTCTGTACAATCACTGGCGCCTGTTGTGAAACCCAATACCTTAATCCCTCCAAATGTCGCCACTTCCCTATCATCCCATGAGTCATAACATAATCAGTGCCATTTTTAGTCTCTCCAGTCAAAGTTTAAATGACAGGTTTTACGTTACTAACAGGGAGACCATGTGGCGGCTGCATAAAGTGCTGACCTCATTAGAGCATGCCAAGAACAAGTCAGAAGTATCGGCATGTACTTTTATGATGCAGGGAGTCCCTTAATAAAACTGATATATGAGGAGTAAACCAAAGGATCCTTCTATGGACATTGTTTCCAAGTGTTGTTGTGCTTTCTGTGTGTGTACTGAGCGAAGTTATGGAAAGTAAGTACATTTACTCAAGTACTTTGAGTACAATTTTGAGTATCTTCCATTTCATGTTACTTTGTATTTCACTACATTTAATGGAAAAAAATGTGCTTTTTAAACTGCATTTATTTGATACAATAAATTCATAAAAAAATTATTTAATCAGCTTGAAAAAATTGATGTGGCTTCAGTTACATGTTAAACATGTTAACCAGCTAAATGTTTAAGGGATACTTAAGATTTTTTGAAGCAGGGTTGTATGGGTTACTTATTTATAGTTAGAGTATTACATAAAGTAGAAGTCACACTCTCAGTTAGGAGAAGCAGGCTGGGGTCCGACATAGAAGCTCAACAATGTAATGCTGTGGATAGGGGTCAGCATCAAAACATTTTAGACACCTAAAAAAATCCATATCCCTATAAGTGTATAATATATTTAGAGTATTTTCACAGCTTTACCTCTACGTCAGACAGCACATTCAACAGGGAAGTCAATAATGGCTTCATTTCCCCATCTATGCTCTTGTCAAAGCCACCAGACTCCATTGACAAAAACTGTAATTTTAGCTCTCTTAACACAGGAGCTGCTGCTCTACCACTGCTTCGATCAGTTACGTGTTAATGTGAGACTTTGTTGATCCAAACTAGCACTTTCAAACACCATGGTCACACAATAATAAACAAAATAACTGATCGAGGCAGTGGTAGACCAGAGGCCTGTTCTACAAAGCAGGATTTGGAGTTAACGAGGGAGCGTGAGAGTTAACTCTGTACCATGAAGCTGGTTCTTCTTTTAGTGGGATAAATCACTGTGGCAACTTATGCTGAACAGCTAACCTGCTCCGAAACAGGTTATGTTCAGATTATGGGATCGCAGCCAGTCACTAACCCCACCTCTGACCAGTCAGATCACTGAAGAAAAACATATCCGTGGACAAAAGTGTGGAGTCTCAGGTAATAAAGAGGATCCTATGAATTGTTACAGGTCAGTAGAATTATTTCATTTTCCACTTCTGATTCATTTTCCACTTCTGATTCCATCACTGCAGCTCAGAATAACATGAGACACCTGTGTGATGAGAACTAGGAACAAAGATAATATTTTATCAGAAAAATCATCCACACACTGTTAATTGGCTACTGTTATTATAAATGCAACAATATGGTCAGATAGACCTCATCAGTCATTATCTAGGCTACTATTCCACCCTTTACTTCAGTAGCAGAAACAGTCTGCTGTTACTGTAACATGATTCAGGTGACATATTCAGACTTGTTTCTTCATCATCCAAGTAAATGGCAAAAAGTACTCTTTACTTATGTCACACACAGCCTGGTGATACCTACAGGTAATTTAAGTCCCGGCAGATGGTGTATTTTTGGATCGTATTTACTACAATTTTACATTTTCCGTACTAAGATTACAGAGTATCGTTTACATCCTGTGTCATTGACATTTTACTGTCTCGCAGTCCCAGGCACTTTTAGTACCGCGTTATCTCATATCATATGAAGCAGCCTCCTTCCGTCATGGTTCTGATGATGTTGCTCATGATAAACAACTCCGCCTCTTTAACATGAACACGCTCATGGCTGGGTAGGAAAACCCAGAGTTGACTGAACTGGTTGATAACCAGCTTTGTACAGTAGTACCAGTTAACCAGATGTTAGGGTTAATCAAACCAGATAATGAAAAGATATCCTGGGTAAGTTGAACTGGCTTCGTACAGGCCTTAGAAGCACCTGTGTTCAGCAATGTGAAATCACTGTTTTTCTCAATGGAGTCTAGCTTTAAAGAGAGTGATATAACAGCTTCATTATCCCACTGGAATTCACTGTCTGACAGTAAAGCCCTGTTTCCACTGAGCAATACGGTATCGTTCAGTTCAATTTGGTACGCTTTATTTCCGTTTCCATTGTGTAATGTTGTGGATGGTACCAATGGAACTGTTCTGTACCATCCCCTTTTTTGTTCCCCCCTCTGTTGGGGTACCTAGCACACAGATCTGGTACTAAAAGGTGGAGCTGTGAACACTACAGTCTGTTGATTGGTTAATAGCAGGTGGTCACTCTGCTCAGGGCTGAGTTGTGGCTGGTTTTGAGGCTCATGTAATCACTGTTCATACCATGGAGAGTTTTATACATTAGTTAACTGTAACAATAAAATGACAGGATGTTTTGCTGCCTCTTGCAGCAGCTGGAGTTGGAGAAAAAGAAATTACTTGGCTGACTGTTGGCGGCTTTTAAGGTGGAACGTTTACTTGTAATGTTAGTCAATGTATGAGCTGACGACATGGATCTATCAACACACCTTAAAATTCACTGTGACAACTCTGACCATTACTTAAGCTTTTGTATGACATGCACTTTTAGTAATGAGTGGATCTTCAAGGGTTTATATATATATATATACAGATATATATATATATATGTATGTATTAATTTCAACGGATTATGTGAGCTGCATATAGCCCACTCCTCACTTAGAGAAAAAAAAAAGCATTGTGGAGCGTTGTTCCTGTGGGCTCCGGCAACACTAAACCCCCGAGCTTGCCTGAGAAGGACTAAATGTACAAACCCGCTACTTTTAAATATCCCATGGAGAGAGACTCTCACTGCAGCCTGTTCTATTTTGTTCAGAAAATGTCAGCGTGCAACCCTGTCCTGTGGACGATAAATGACGCGCAGACTTCCATCTGTCACCGGTAATGTAGAAATACAGTGAGTGCTGGACGGAGCAGTGAGTGACAACAGCCCCGCCCACAATTAAGAGTACTGTTTGGGGTCTAGGGTCTTGGTACCATGTCTGAAGGGTTACTTTTGGTTCCAAAGGTAGCATCGTGAAAGTGTTTGGTGGAAATGGGGCTTAAGGTACAGCGGTGAAAATATTCTGAATATAGCACACACTAAAACTGATATTGTTTTTTTTCTTGGTGTCGCAAATACTTTTGTTGCAGACCCCTCCACAGCAGTACATTACTTTGCCTCTATGTAGGACTCCAGCCTGCTTCTCCAAACTGGGAGCTTGCCGACTGACATCTAGTGTATGTAATATACTCCCTATAGATAAGTACTTCATACAACTACAATTTAAAAAAAAATCTGAACTATACCTTTAAGTAGTTAAATTTAGCTTCACCAAGACGAACTAGGCATTTAAGTGCTAGTTATGATAAGAATATACAATAATAAAACAACCATAGGACCCAAATTTTCTGCATTATGGATACTTTTAATTTTGATGCTTACTCATAAAGCTTCTTAACTGAGCTGTTGAACGCAGGAATATTTTCACACTGAGATATCTCTACTTTTACTTCATGATCTGTATCGTTGCTCCACTGATGTGATGGTACGTGATGGGGGGAAAACACACGTGCACCAGCATGTGACGTCCCTGCTGTCACTGTCTGTCTGGCACGAGGGTCAACAACATCTCTTTTGAACTTATTTTTGGACAGACCTGCCTTGACAACCGACCTTAAGCATATATTACCTAACAGGTCTTTGTGAGAAAACGTGTTTCAAACCGTTTGTTTCACTGGTGCCATCAGGAATAAACTGCCGGCTGCGACTGCTAATGACCATTAAACACGTTAATTGCCAATAAGCCCGCGACAGCTGCGTCACTCCCAAAACAATACACCCAGATCCTATATAGCCCTGCCTGCTCACCCAAGGGTACGCATCCAGAACAAAACAGAGACAAGGTGCCCCACTACGAATTCCCAACTCATTATGCAACTCCAGTATAAAACACACACACCGTTAACACGTCCGTCACGTCAAGCATCCAGATAAAGAGGAGCTTGGAGTCAGACAGACGGGCGCATCATCCCTCCTCTCATTTCACACAGGACACAAGCAGTTAACCAGGGGCTGTCCGTCCTGCCAGCACTCTAACTTGGTCAGGGAATTTAAGCAGAGGTAAGCTGTGGCCAGAGCTGAATGCAAAGTTGTCTGACATAGTCTCAAGTGCTGTCAACTCAACTCTCTTTGTGTTTTAAGTCTGCTTTTTAGAAATGGACTTCATCCTGCCACCCACTCTGCCAGCTGTGGGTATCCCATGGGAGAAGGTTTTACCACCTCTCATTCCTCGGCTGAATGGGACTTATGGGCAACATAATTGGTCCCCGAAACTACTCTTACCAGAGACTGATAACACCAGCTCTGCAGAGGTAAGTCATTTTGAATTACTATAGCTACAGTATATGTGGCAAAAATGTTCAGAAGTTGTTTTATTTTGGCTCAACTGAACCGCACGAAAACACAAAACAGTCAGTGATACCACATAATCTTTTACCATAACTCGTTCATTAGAGTATTCCCCTCATTTTTGGTGAAAAAATATAGATCTCGACAAAAAAAATCCTATCTTAAGCTTCACTTGGTAGTTTTTTCCAGAACTTTTATCTTCATCTTAGTCATCTTCAACTCATAAAAACTTTTATATGCTGTTAAAAGCCCATGAAAAGATAATTAGAACATTTTTGTCAAGTTTCCATGGTCAAGAATGAACTCTGACGAACACTTAACCTTTTACCATGATAACTTGTCAAACACAATATTACCCTGATTGTTTAAGCTTACCAAAAAAAAGAAAGAAATCCTATCTTAAGGTTAACTTGGCAGTTTTTCCCAGAACTTTCAACATCATCTTAGCCTTCAACTCATAAAAACCCTGAAATGCAGTTAAAAGCCCCAAAAAGGACATGAGGAGCATTTATATCAAATGTCCAAGGTCAAGAATGAACTTTGATGCTCATATATCATAAGGATATCTATTCAGTGCTTAGTGGCAAGGGCTTTTTGGCTGTTTATTGTGCTTTGAGGGATTTTATCTCCATATAATAATACACAGTGTTTTGTCTCATGTCGGTAGGTGAACTGTGACGACAGCGGTTTTACAGTTCAAGTGGATGTGAAGCACTTCAACCCAGAGGACCTCATGGTCAAAGTGATAGGAGACTTTGTGGAGGTGCAAGGCAAGCATGAAGAAAAGAAGGTTCTTATTCTGGGAGGAGCACTGCTGTGTTTTTTGGTTTACGTACCCCACAATAGTTCTGATTTAACTTGTATTTATCTGTTTTATTAGAAGGATGGCCCAGGGGTTACGACACGCCAGTTCAACCGCCGCTACCGAATCCCAAAGGGAGTGGACACCATGGCTTTGGAGTCAGCAGTCTCTCCAGATGGCATCCTCATCATATCTGCACCGATGCTGCACACCCACGACTCCAGAACCCTGACTTCATCACAATAATAGCAAACATTAAAATCTCTGTCATCTTCACCATGTATGAAAACGAATGCAACAGAAGCCTTTAAGAAACACACAGGCACATACAGAAATAACTTCAGGCTCCTTCAATCACAGCAACACTCGGCCCATGTGCCAAAACACTCGTTTGTTTGGTTCCTGGCACCGTTCTAATATTCCCTGCTCTCTGAGGTTTGTATATACTGCTCTGCTATTACTCACCGATGTTACATAATGTTTCAAGGAACCAGTCTTTTGTAAATATTCTGCGTTCGAAAGATCAAACTGCTGTTTGTTTTTTTCGAATTTGCAACTTTTTGTAAAAAGCACTGTGTTGTGGTTGTGATTAATGATGCACGCAAACATATCTCTGAACTCTTTAATGTGGAAATGTTTCTTCAAAAATGAAAAAATAAACTTTATTTCTTTATAAAAAACAAAACAAATCATCAAGTGTGTCTTCTCAGTGTTCAAGTAACTTGTCGCTCCTCCAGGAATGCATTCAACATAGAGTCCACTTGACTGTAAGGAAAAAAATGCAGATTATTTTTCTGGAATTTGGTGTGATATGTGATTCAAATAATATTATAGGAGCTGCATTTCATATGATTTTAAGAATAACAGCCTTCCAGAAACAACATAATTTTATATAAATGATGACAATCAGTTTAGTTCATAGGTTATTATTTTTACCTGATCTGCTCCTTCACCCATTTTCTCTGCTTGCGGAGGACTTGTAATAAAGGGTCATCTTCAAACTCTTTTTCATCTGAATCTGAAAAAGAAGAACAGTACTGTTGAAGGTAACGAGGCAAGGAGAGTGTTGATAATGGAATATTATCAGCATGTACATACAGAGTTGTTATTTAACTCCCCGAAGGCAGCACGAGTAAGGCCTACATTGAAATTTAACATGGATCACAAATGTTAGAGCGTGCACCAAAGACAGAGAAAGTTCTAGAGGTTTTGACCTCATGAATGTGGCATGTTGGGAATGTAAACTATTCACAGGTCAGAATATAGTCTCCACAATTAACTACAGGGTAAAGGTTGGTGCTCTTTGCTGCCATAAGCTCACCTTCAGCTTCTTGCAGCAGCTGTGAAATGACCTCTATAGAGTTCTGTGCTTTGCATGGAGGAACTGAGGACTGTGGAGGTGCAGGGGAAGTGCAAGGAGGAGAAACTGATGAGTCAGAGGTCCTCTGTGCAGGAGATGACACCAGCGTGGGGAACAATACCTCTGAAACTACCTGTTGGGGACCAAAGAGAACACCCTACTGGTTAATGCAGCTTTTTATTACCACAATGACATTGACCAAAAGATGTATGTATGACATCTAAACAACACTAGATGTACAAAGTCATGGCAACACAATCAGGATTTGAGATAAATGGATACAGTATATTTAATGAATTATTGCCACTTTTTCCACGTCATTCTGACATGGTTAGAAATAAACACCTGTGTTTTAGGTTTGGATTTAACAGAATAATGTCTCACACACAGTCCATCTCTTGAAGACAAATTGGAGGAACTCAAACGTGGGTTATTTGTATTTGATAATCACCTTGTGTAAACACCACAAGATTTATAAATCCAAAATTTTGAGCAGTAACACTGACATCTTTCAGTTCAACATACCTAACTCTGGCAGGTAGGAGTGGGCAATATGGCCCTAAAATAATAAAACGATATCTCAGGGTATTTTTGCGACAACCATATTCTTAATATGACAAATTAGTTTTAACAATTATCATTAATTTAAGAAAACAGAATTGCAACAAAATAAGTGATATAGTTTTACATGTTAACCTAACAGTTTGCCTTCAAATATTCAGTAAAAACTAAACTGATCTCTCATTTCTTTAGTTTGTAAACAACAACAGTAACTTGGGAGTGAGATTCAGATTCTGTGTGCAATATTAATAGTTCAACAAAATAAAATCTACCACAAATTATACATTTGAACAGCTCCCAAATACAAAAAAAGTACCCTGGGATTTATATATATATATAAATCAACAGGTGATTTCCTTCTTTTAGCAAAATCCTAAATGACTGAGCTGTTTTCCCACCTGAACCTTTATGCTCTGCCATTTCTCCTCTAATCATCACGCTTTAACCTGTGACAGGTTGTTATGCTACAATAACTATTGCACATTCACATATATGTAGTTTTTTGTTGAGCTGCAAGCGGCACTTAGGTTTACCAAAGGTTTATGACGCACTGACTCCTGTGTGCACACAGTGAGAGAGGAAAAGGAGAGACGCTGTGCTGCTGCCAGAGGAGCTGCTGAATGAGTTCCCTCTGAGCAGTAACTCACTAAAAGAGTCTGAGAATAAAACATTCAGGACGCCACAGTTTATTCCACACTACTGAAGCTGCTCCTTTTTTTGAACCACTGCCGAGTCGATATTAATTTCGCTTTCAGCCATGCTTGCTGTTGCCGTGGGTAACGGTATGACGTCAATATATCAACAAGTCGAAATATCGCGAGTATCACAATATGAATTTTTCATATGATGCTAAAAATTATACCAGTACTATCATGAACAAGATGATATGGCACACCCCTACTGGCAAGTCACCCAGATATTATGACAGCAGGAAACACATTAAGACAAAATAGGCAGTCTCAGCCTCTTAAGGCCACTGGATTAATCAAACTACTTAATAATGCTCTGCGCTATTAGTTAATTAGTCAACTAATCGATTAATTATTATTGCTACCCTCTTTAGTCTACACCAGAAATACAAGTTGATTAAACAGTTTATTACAATTATTTGATTAATGAACAGATTTAAATGAAATATTAATGCATATTTTGATGATTTTTTTAGTAGGATAGGCTGTTTGCTATGCGACACCATTCACGCAATAAAAATGCAGATTCCTTAGAATTTATTTTCGTGAGGTATATTATCATCGATAAATTTTAATTATTCACTTTTATGTAGTGAGCTGTCATGTTTTGAAGGATAATGTGCAGTTTCACCATGCAAGGTGCAAAGTGCCTCACATCTCTGTGCTCAGAGTTTTTCTGACTTAAGGCCTGATTGACTAGACTAAGTTTAAACGTTGGGAAAAATTAGTTATTAGGAACATCCCTACTTCACAGACAACATCAAAGAAAATAAATTGCCAACCTGTCCTAAAGCAGTGTGGATTGGAGAAGGGGGTGGCGCATTATCGCCAGTGCAGCTCTCCCTGGAAAACCCCTGGCTTCCCTCCTGTTGCTGTTGTTCTGCCCTCGGCCTGACCTTTTCAGAAACTCTTTGATGTGAAGACCTCCTGTTTGTAGAGCCAGGACAATCAGCATGTTCCATATTCACAATATATCTGCAAAACATGTATATTAAGCACTCAGACTTTTACCCTGTGTGCATGTTTGGACACTACCTTGTTGTCTTCTGCTTTGTGTTGGACGTCACTGTCTTCTTCTCATTCTTCTCTGACTGTCTTGGCTGGGCTTTCTCGGTCTTGTTTCTCACAGATCTTGTGTCGTGATTACGCTGCTCTCCTTGTATAGCTCCAGATGAAGCAGGTGGTGGGGATGGCACATGCTCACGAACAGGCTCATCAGTGAAGGCGTTCGTTGAGTGTCCAGGGACTTGGGTCTTTTTACGGACAACTTTGGTCTGAGACTCAGCCATACTGTCTGAAATGTTTGTTTTGATGGGACAGGGCAAGACATCACAGAGTATATGCATGTGGGCAGGAACGTGGGCAACAGTCTGTGGTTGAGAGCCTGAAGGGCCAGAGAGGGCAAAGGCAGGGAAGTGAGGTGGACCTGAAGCTGGGGGACATGATCCATTGCCGTTTTCAGTTTGTGGCTGGGGAGTAGTGATGTGAGGATGTGTAGCTTCGTGCGACAATTCAGGAGGTTGGGTACTCTGGTGTTGCTAAAGATGATGCAAAAAAGAAGACATTAAAATGAATCTGCAAGCCTAGAATAAATACCAAACAAAAAACAATAAGTAAATATCATACAGTATGACTCAAACCTTGTAAGCCTGTCCACTGGCTGAGGGATGGCTTAAATTGGGAGCTTGCCAGCTAAATGTAGGACCATGAAGACTTGAGTTTTGCAGGGACGGAGGCCACTCCCTGGCCTGCTCAATCTTTCTCCTTAAACGCCACTGGAACAAGATGTCATCTTCCCGGCGTGCGGGGATCACCAGAGAAGGAATGACAGCGGATTTTTGGGAGGACACAGCTGGAACTGAGTCTGAACTGGCCTTCGCTGTAGATGTTAAGAAATACATTGCACAATATCACTGACACAGCAATAACGCTTAAAATATCAAGCATAAAAAAAGAGGAATCATCTTCTACAGGTTGCATAAGAGGGAACGGCATTGAGCAAGTTGAAATTTTAAGTAACAAAATTTCATCTCAAAAATGAAGATTACTTGACACTTACCAGCAGATTTGATTAAACTGGGAATCAAAGGTCTCCGCACTGGCTCATCTACACTAACTGGAGAAGAGAAATCTGAGCATGCCAGGCCCTCTGAGCTGACAGGGACAGATCCATCACTCAGAGTACATTCACTGTTAGAAAGAAAAAAAGTTACCTATAATTGGAGGAATTCATTAGTTCATCATAAATATTACTTGCTGGTCTTCATACCCTCTCAGCAGAAGCCTGCTGGCCTTTTCTTGAAGGTGTAGTATCTCTGTGTCATCTAATTCACCCTGATATGTGTCTGACAAAACCTAAAAAACAAAGAGAACACACAGAACAACCAATAAGCCACAACTGTGCTCTTGATAGTTCAATATAAAAACAATCCTGTAAATAAATAAAACTAGATGATTAAATTTGCAGCATTTGAGTTATCTGGCTTCACATTGCTAACAAATATATTGCAGTTCTTTTATAATTTTGTGAGGGTGATACATTTGACTTGAGCAGGCTGAACAACAAGCCATAAAAGTATCAAACATGGCTGCAAAAACGATGGCTCTTCAAGCATTTAGTAAACACGGAGGTTTCCAAATGGACATGTGGTGTGGTGTTGAAATGCAAATATTTATATGCACACTTGGTCGGTATAAGGTGTCCTGCAGACACTCTGCTTCCCGGGCATGCAGACAAACCTGGCATAAATCAGGGCACGGTGCAGACCAAATAATCCATTATAACAGCATATGCAAAGATATTAACCCAGATGAAATGGTATCTGGACACAAATACATGTTGTTTCCTACAAACAATGCACATATTATTTTTATTTAGTAGATAAATACAATCACAGGCTATATCGTGACTCATTCTCAGTAAACTCACAAATGCACTCACACTGCATGGGGAAAGGGATCTGTCATGCCGACGCTGTCCAGCTGGATTGAAAATCTCAGGTCCATGGTCTGCCAAGAGAAAGGGATTCCACAGAAAAACTTTACCAGCAAGGTTTCTTTCCATATTGAAATTCAGGTGCTGTTTACAGTTAACAACTTCTACATTAAAAACCCTTAACTAAGAGTGTACCTTCATCTGTTGTCTTAGTTGGTGTTGAACTAAAGGGGAAAGATGGGGGTGACATCCACCAAAAAGGCACCTGCTTCTCTCCAGTGGCAGAAGACATCTGCTGGCGCTCCTCTCGACTCTGTGGTCGACCATGACGAAAGCGTTCTACGTACCTGGGAGGGCAAAGGTCAATGCTGTGATTCAAACAGTAACATAAAAGAACCACTGACCAGTGTCTGTGTCTACCAGTCTTCACATCACTGCCATGTTTAGTCATGCCTCACATACTGCAAGCTTTCATTGTGAGAAAAAATACAGTTCGGGCATAGGCGCTGCTATATTTGAGGGTACGGTCTTGACTCTAGGAAACTAAAGCCTACTTTGCCATCACTGATTCCTGCTGAACTCCTCGCTCTGATGAAACTGTGGATTTGCCTGCTTTCGCACACTGTTTGGGTGTCTCCATGTCAGATGAGGTTGCACTGCTGATAGGAGAAGATCCACAGTCGGTGGAGGGCCAGGACTCTGTAAAAACAGTTTGTTCATCTGTGGCAGTAAAGTGTTGGTCACAATGCTCAAACAGTTGTTGGCTCTCTGGGCTCAGAGTGTGTGAATTGGATTGCTTGTTCAGACGTACATGACTCAAAGTCTGCAAAAGAACAATGAAGTGATAACCATTATTGCAATAACTTAGGAATGCAAATCAAATATTGCTGTGTGTAATCAAGTTTCCTTTAAAAACATACAGTTTTTTTCTTTTTATTTGACAGGGGCTGGTTGCGGGATGGGTGGTAGTGTGTCCTTCCCAATCTGGATGCTGGTTGAAAAGGATTCTGCCTTGTGAACACAGGTTCACTGCAAAAACAACACGTTACCCACTGTAACTATTGTTTAAGGTACTATCAAACTGTGATCTTAAGGTCTTACCTGGATTTCATTACAGCTTTAGATTGTCACAGGTGAATCATAATAGCATAGAGGACAGGATGCACAGAAGAAGAAGTTGCTTCTGTGTGTATCTGGTTTATGCCTTCCAACTTAGCTCTGTGACGATAAATCACAGCTGGGTCAACATGGCTGACAGACTGGGTTACTAAGGTCTTACTGTACTATAACAAACAATTTACTTAGACAGACGAAGACCACATTATCCACCGACCTTCCGAGTTGACCTGGCATGTCCACAAAACAAAGTTACCATGGAGCGAAACGCCAGCACGACACAAATTGTCCATAAAATAGCAAATTAAGGTGCTACAGCGGGCACTATGAAGAGATATTCATCTAATGAGTCCAAATTTGTAGCTATAAACATACATACTTTGCTAATTTTTCACAAATACAACATAGTAGAAGAAACCAGAAGAAAGCGTCACAGCTTGTGCCGATCGTTATTTACTACAAGACTTACAGCCAATGGGCGCCGAGTTTGATATGATGGACATACAGTTTAGCCAATTACATAGAACGTCGTCGCTGCTCAAGAGCCAATCAGTTAATAGGAAACCGGCAGCGCGCGGAAGAGGAAAGTCTGCAAGTGTCCGTTGATCAAAACAAGCTAAGTTAGCAACGGTAATTTGAGCTAGTATGCTCGACGGTCCGAAATAAAATTAAAGCGTCCAGTTTGCAGTTTATTACCAGTGAATATATGGAAACCGCTGGGGGGACCTGTTAGTTAGGTAATCGTTATAATGGGTAAACGCATATATCGTTGGGCGTAAGAAACTACGCTAGCTTAAACGTTTTCCAATGGTTAAAAGTGCTAATGCAGAGGGTGGCTAGCTGATTGGAAACCTAACCGCAGCTAACGTTAGCTAACGTTAACGTTAGCAAGCAACGTCCCGTACCTGTCCTACGATAGTGTTGTCAAATAACGCAACATTAGCGTCAGCTACAAGTCGTTATCAAGAGAGTGTGCATTTAGATTTTTGTGATACGACAGTGAACGTGTGGTTGTAAAAGTCTGGATTTTCCCCAGTTAAATTTGATATATAACGTTAGAAAGGTCGAGATAATGCACCACGTCAAGATCAAGACTGAAAGGCCAGGTAAGAGGCTGCTTTTTAAGATTTTCACAAAAAATAACCTGTAATAAAACATGTTTTACCCCAAAGGTGTTTTGATTTAAATGTCCTCCCGGCCTAGCCCATTTTAACGTTAGTAGACATTATAGTCATTACCTTATTCAAAATCTATGAGAATGTAAAGCATGAAAAATGAGAATGTCACCTACCTTTAATATAAACCCCCTCAATGTGGGTTTTCTATTCATTGTTCTTTCTATAAAACACCCACTGTTTACAATCTTTATCGTTACTTCTGCAGACATAGAGGGGGCTGGTGCACGCAGCAGATTGGATGCTGTGTTAAAGGGACTCGTAGAGAGGAGTGAGAATGAAAGGTCAGTAAAATTATCATCATTAAAATTTTAAACGCATTCAATGATTGTGATTACTTTTCAGTCAGAGTCATATTGTATTTTAAACAGGGAGCAAAATGAGGGCGATACTGGAAAAATATCAGCGGACTCCTTAAACAAGTACGGATCAATGATTTTGATTTCACACATTTGTCAGATTTTTAGATTGTTTAATAGCTGGTGCTGTGAATCTAGTGAATATCTGTTTTCTCATTTCAACATTGAGTGTAAAAGCCTGTTTGTATATTTCATGTTTCACTTGCTGTTTCTAGGGATTTGTCTCCATCGTCTGCTGGAAAAAGGCAAGTGATTCAGTAATGCAAAAACATGTACATATAATTTATTTGTCTACAATTGGAGCTGAAAATAATTCTCTGTGGTCCTGCCCTGATAAAGATTTTATAATTTTACATTGGCAAGTTGCATATCTGCACACCATGATATATTTATAAGCTGTAACGCCTATGATTTTTTCTCCACGTGTAATAAGTCCACATCCTTGCTTTGATTCTTCCAGGCCATCAGCTCGATTTCCACAGCACCGGAGGAAGAAGCGAAAAGAGATGGATGAGGGCATACCAGAGAGCAATCAGCACAAACAAAGTAAACTTGCTGCAAATATTGAAAACAATGCCGCAAGAAATGACATTGTAGTAGTATCCTTTGTGTCGTTAAGTTACTGCGTGGTCACTCTGCCTTTCACTTCATTGAACAATTTCTTACCTTTCCTTTATCCTCCCCATTTTCTGTTTTTCTCCTCATTTTAGATGCTTACATTATTAAGTTGTTTGATCGCAGTGTGGATCTGGCTCAGTTCAACACCAGCACCCCTCTGTATCCTATCTGCCGTGCCTGGATGAGAAACAATCCTTCTGTCCGAGTGCCACCTGCTTCCCCAAGCCCCCCACACATCATGGTGGAGGAAGAGGTGAGGCTATAGTTACAGTTATGTTGAATAACTTCAGGTTAATTCACAATATGCAAACATCACCAAAAAGGCAAATATCACTTTAAAGTTATACTTTACTGTAAATCTATTTTCAGAAATATGACCGTATTATCACTATATTGCATCAAACTCCAGGGGAATACTACTTATGGAGCTGAATATAACAAACATACTTAACACTATGCCTTGGATTTTAACACACCTACAAACACTGTAACGTATAGACCACCACATAAAAATGAGCAGGTTGTTGTTAACAGCTCAGGACAGTCAGAGTGTCTGCAGCTCCTTAAAAAGTCTTTTAAAAGTCTTCACTTTCAATGTCAATACAGTTCTTTAAATGATAGGCCTTAGATGTCATTAAGAAGTCTTAAAGTTTCATTTGGGTGTCTTAATTGTCATAAACGCTTGATCTAATTTAATCTATTCATCTTTTAATTTATTTTTGTCAAAGTAAGTTGAATTCTTTTGCATAAAAGTTCACAATTTTGATGTTTCAAACATTAAACATTAAATGTAAGTGTCTGATACCTGTAGACACCCTGACTGTTGTCTGGGAATTATTTAAAATGCAGTACTGTATCTGTGTCTCTTAATTCAGTTTATTCCTTCATATATGGTCTGGGTTTTTTTGTTTTTTTTTTTTACTGTAAATGTTTAAAATTTTGCAAGTGCAAAATGTCGGTATGACAGAGCCTAACATTGATGAACCATGGCACAGTTACACTGGGCTCTTACAAGCCACTAGCACCTCTCTGCCTCTTTCTGACTTTCACCATGGCTCTCTCTGGTGTCTGAGCAATAGAAAGCTGCTAATAAAAACAGGAGTGTTGTGCTGTGTTCATGGTTCCCTCTGAAAATGATGGTGGTAGTAATTCATGGCAGTAATAAAGGAAAATGTCTGCAGTGTTGTCACTATCAGTATTTTTCACCATAATATATATAGTCAACCTGGTATACTGGACACCTCTCTTGCAACGGGCAGTGACTGTAGTTATCATGGATCAAAGTGTATACAGCTGACTCTGTATAACTGCATATAACTCTCTTTGCCTGTCAGAAAACGTGTATTTGTTGTTTAAGCAAGACAAGAAATTGCTCTTCAGTGTTTCAGTTGTAATTATCAGTGTTTTGAGCACCTCAAACAAATTTCCATTCCTGCATTTTGCAATTTGTTTGTACAGACTTTGTAAAACACCAAAGTTTTAATCTTTATTATTCGTATGAAAAGTAATTTTGCAGAAAATTGTTTTTGAAACAGTGAAATGAACATTTAAACTAAGCAATAATGAGACCACTTAAAATACTAACTAGTTAGTAGTAGTAATTTCTTTGGCCTGGAGATGTCATCATGCCACAGTCACAGAATAATTTTGCGTAAATGACTGTTACACTGCATTTCTTTTTAAAAATATTTCTTTCTTTTACCAGCTTACAGACATGATGAATGGTAAAGCCCAGAATGTGTACAGACTCCCTCCTCCGACATCCTGTCCCATCAGCACTTCTGGTGAACCCATCAATCTCAGGATCCCGCAGACTGAAAAACCTACTGTTACCAAGGTTCTGTGTGATATATGCATTAGAGTTATTGATGGTGTTTGACTTGGATAATGATATTAAATGAAACAGCAATTGTTACATCAAATTAATTATTTATTTTTAAGTTAACTTATGATTTATAACTAACTAAATCTGAATGTTTTCTCTCTCCACAGTTAACAGATCCAGTTCCTCTATCAGGTGCTCTCATATGTGACCACATGGAACGTTGGAAAAAGATAAGGCAAAAGTATGCTCTTCATGAAAAGCAACTTTTTCTTTTACTGATAAAAATATTCACATTGTCAATGACCTGTGTACGGGAAGGAACTCACCTCGAGGTCAGGCTTTTACCTGTGGGTGTTTCACTTGCTCAGCATGTAACATACTTGAATTGTTGCTGTCATGAAGTCGCATCAGGATATAAATTTATGCAGTTTAGATTTTTAAAGAACCACTGAAACAGCCAAAAGTTTGGATCGAGTTGAGCTGACCCACATTGGTCTTGTTTTCTCCAGATGGAAGGAGTGCTCTAACAAGAACCAGTTACGATACAGCGAGAGTATCAAGATCCTCAAGGAGATGAAGGACCTCTATGATCGCTAACCGGCTCGCACTGTAGCTCTCCACCACAGAATGGACTCTATGCAGCTGGAAAGAAGCCACGGCGTAGCAGTCAGTGTTCCAACACACCCGCCATCTTCAAAATCTGATTCAAACTAAAGCATGAACAGATCCTCGAGCCTTAAACAGACCATATGTCCTATGCATTGTAGAAATACAGTAATTTGAAAAAAAGTGTGCTGCTGTTTCTTGAGCAGGTATGTGTTCCAGTTTGATGTGTTTTTTTATTCTAAAATAATTGTGAAGATGTCTGAATAAATTAAATGGCTCCTCAGTTTACCAGGAATACTGTGATTTGTAAATCCTCATCATAAACAAGACTGATTAAAGTCCACCTGTGTCTCCTCTTCTCTCAGATTTGTATCATACAACAAAGCAGCAAAGATAAAATAAAAGAGGTTTCTTATTAGAGGTTGTCTGATCAGTCCATAACAGTGGCCTGTAGATAACATTTTGTTTTCACTGGCTTGGTTCTTTGTCAGCTCTCTAAACCACAAGTGAACTCCTAGTAACTGTTGTGAAGAGTCCGTTAATGGGCACATCCTCCATATGTGCGCTCTGTTGTAATATTGATGACATGATGGCAGTTACAAAAACTAAAGAGGTCAGCATGTATTTTTCCTCTACTGCAGCACATTAATTGTGAATGTTTACAGTGACTGAGGTTAGAGTGGTTACTTGGTCGTTTGATAGCTGATATTTTAGATGAACAGTATAGGAACTGCAGTCATTTGTGCAGTCCTAGAGTTGTGATATGGGAATCTTTTTGGTCAAAAACTGAGATAAGAATACAAAGCACTCCATATACACCACCCCACTTCATTTATAATACTTGTTCACTGCATTAAAAAAAAAGTGTTAAAGTGTTTTGTGTGATAAGCAATGCTTTAACTCTAAGCTATGAATAAGAGCATGAAAAAATCAAGTTGTTGCATTTTATTCATGCAGAAGGAAGAGAACAGCCCATTAAAAATAAGACTTTATTCACTGTATCAAAATGCATATAGCTTAGTTATTAAAGCTCAGACTTGCGTGATAGTATCATGGATACTGCAGTGGACAATTTGCTCATCAATAAGCATGGGTAAATAAGAAGTTCATCCAAAGGTTATAAGCATAAACATAAAACTGGTGTCTTTATCACGAGTTACAGGTAATTCCATATCTGATGTCTTGAAGGTTACAGTGGTACAAAATAAGTCATTGTTACACGGAGAAATTCATATGTACATCTTACATCACAACACACCCGTGTAGGTGTTTTCAATTATTCTGGCTGATTAGATCTGTCACAGGCATAGATTTTTTGACGATACACACACGCACATCCACCTCAATAAAAAAACAATAAAAAAATATCAAAAGTAGCAGAGGACTTTAATTTTGTCAAACTGGATCAGGATCATAGATGCAACAGTGCCTCTGGTAAAGTAGGTTATAAGAGTTTGCTGCCTCCAAAGCCATGGTTGCAATCTGCCATTAAAGGGAGAGAGGATAACACATCTATGAAGCAGGAAGCTCAATTATCATACACTGGTGCAGAAAAGACACAAACGGATGCATTAAAAAAAATCACCAGAGTGCAGGAAATAAAGCGTTTGATGTTCATTTCTTCTTATCAGCTTTAAGTGAAAACACCTAATCGTGTATAGGCGATTAAAAAAACATTCAAATCACTCATTACAAACATCCAACTCATTTTTTTTCTGCGCACAAATGCATTGTCTGAATCAACATGCCATTTTCAGTATGTGTTCAGTTTGGCTTTAAAAAGAGATCTGTACCCATAAAATTTACATCACCTGTGGTGGCAGTCCCAATCAGTGCTTACTGTCTCTCTGCTGTGATAACCACTTTGCTTTCTGTGAAGTCAAAGCAAGTGGCTGTGGAGGCCTTACTCAGAGCTAACTGTCTCTTTTTCTTCTGTGATGACCACTTTGCTTTCGGTGTCTGAGGAAGTGGCCGTGCCTTTCCTCTCTGGAGGCGCAGTAGAGTCCGACTTCCGGGAAATCCGAGAAAAGTGTGACGATAAGGTGCGAGAGGACATAAAGGACAAGTGGTCCTCTGCCAGGGCGCTTTCTAGGACGTGGCATACGGACTGCTTGAGCTTCTTCTGGAATTCATCACACATGAAAACATAGAGAATGGGGTTCAGGCAGCTGTTAATAAAAGCCAGATTCAGAAGTAGAGAACCTGCAATCCTAACAGTATTCCGGAGCGAGGGGTCAGTATAGGACTTTAACTCTACGAAATGCACAATGTGGTAGGGCAACCAGCAGATGAAGAATGCAAGAATGATGGAGAAAACGATTCGCCGAGGTCTCTGTTTCCTGGTCCTCTGCAGGCGCCTGGCACGAACACTTATGGCCACATAAGAGACAAATATCACCAGGAATGGGATGAAGAAGCCCATAACAAAGCGAAAAATGCCGAGAGTCCATGCTTGTTCATGTGTCATGTGTGGAGTATAACTACAGAAAATCTTCCCCCCAGTGAACCTAAGCTCACGAAAAACAGCATAAGGGGTGCTGCAGACTATAGCGGCTATCCAGATGAAAATGCATATGATCTGGGCTTTGCAAATGGTGCGCTTGTTTTGTGCCCACACCACCCACCAGACTGACAGGAAACGATCAAGACTTATGGCTGTCAGGAGAAAGATACTGGCAAACATATTGACCACAATCACAAAGCTGTTGAGCTTGCACATGAATCGTCCAAATTGCCATTGGTGATCCTGAGAGATAGAAATGATCGAGAAAATCAGGAAGGCCGTGAAGAGGAAGTCAGCCAGCGCCAAGTTGAGAAACCAGACTGAGTTGACTGTTCTCTTCATCCTGCAGCCTGTCACGTAGATGACCAGACTGTTGCCCAGAGTTCCAACCAGAAATATCACGCAGTAGATGACCAGGCAGGCTGTGCGTACATTCCTGAGAATCCCCTCCATCCTGTCTGGTTGACGTACAGTGGAAGTCATGTTATCTATTGAACAAAGAAGAAACGTGTCGTTACAGACATCACTATCTTTAACATGTTCTGCAACACGCACTGAGAAAACATTACTTTTACAACCAGATGAAGTAGGTGATCTGATTTTAATTAACTCTGCACTATTTTGTAGTTTTTATAATTGTATTTTTGAATGCTCCTGTCCTGGCTCATGTTCTGTGCAGCTCTGGCTCCCACTATAGCACCAGATTGGATGAAGCAGTCACAGAATAGTGAAAGTTGACTTTACCAATCATTTCACTTAATTGCTGTAGTGTTTAGAAAACATCAACTATTAAATAAAAAGGAGGTTAATGCATACCTGTTTTAGATCAGTTAGCAAGAAATTAGAGTAGATCACTTTTCTGTTAATGCAATTTAAAAGCAATGCAGTTATATGTTTAAAGTTTCTTACCAGTCCCCATGTTTTTTACTTGAGTGGCCAGAGTCTGTCTTTATGCTGAGCTGATGTATCTTGTTCTGCCTTTACTGATTCTCTCACTCTGATTATTCCTCCTTCTCAGTTCATGCAGCTGCCAATGAGACAGTGCCTCTGCTGTAATTAGGCAATAAGCAATGTGCAGGGCGAGGGCAAAAAACACTAGCACCTTAGAATATAATGCAATCCAACATGACAGTGCGACAAAAACACAAAAACCGACATTAGTGTTTTTAAGAGTTTTATTTTATGCATGATTTCTCATAGATGCACCAAACGCATCAGTACACTGAATAGTTTCTACCATTCAAAGTCAATGGAAATAGCAAAAGCATCTCATATTGACACTGTATAGAATCACTCACTGATCACAGTGAGGAGCAGGACGATGGGAAACAATGCACGTGCACTGCAGATTCTGTGTGTTTGCATGTTAGTTGGAAGCAACGGTCTGGTCGATCCAGCTGCGCAGGTAGGACACACGGGCGTACACGGCAGGGGCACGCACGTTGCAGTTAGAGGTGCCCCAGGACACAATACCCACAAGGGACCACACTCCACCATTCTCACAGACCAGAGGGCCACCGGAGTCACCCTGAAATGAGACAGATAGGTTTTTACTAATTGATTTTCACGAGCATGCATGGGGTCACTTAATAAAAGCCTGGATCAATCTCTTGACATTGCTTGAGAGTGAGAGGACTTTGTCGTTTAAGTTTTGTACAGGATGTGGGCTGGCCTGCCATGAGTCATTTACCACCCAAGAAAATGTGTGAGAACATTATTGTTGAGTGAGAAGACAGAACCCTTTTTAATGACTCATTTATTAATGATAAAGTATGCACATGTTATTAACTGTTTGCGAAATCTATTCATAGCTCGATCAATCAATCATGAACACTTGCTTCATAACTATCCTTCAGGTGATTGTTGTTTTGAGGAATTACTTTTTATAAATCTGTATTCAGGCGCTGTAATTAGTTGTTACCTGACAGGAGGACACTCCAGAAGCACCGGCACAGATCATGGCATCAGTGATTCTGTTATAACCCCAGTACTGCTTGCACTGAGCAGGGCTGAGCAGAGGCAGGCCGGTCTGCTGGAGGTAGCGGGGGCTTGCTGAGAACGGAGGAGAAATGGGGATGAAGCTCACTGCACAATTAAATCTTTTCCATCGTTCTTAGTCGTGCCTTTATATTTTCCCCTTTGTGGAAATGGAACCGTTCATACGTGTGTAAATTTACCCTGTGTGTGAGATTTAGAAAGCAGGCGCTCACTCACAGGTTTGGCCGGTCTTGCCCCACCCAGTGGTGACACATCTGGTTCCAGAGGGGATGTTGGTGCTGGAGGAGGCCAGACATACAGGAGACACACGGGATGTCATCTGCACTGGGGAGGACAGCCTCAGAAGGGTGATGTCATTGTTGAAGTTCTGGGTGTTGTAGTAGGGGTGAGTGATGGCCTGGGTGGAGGGATGAGCATAATGACAAATCTACCCAGAAAATGGCTAATTCAAGTAAAAGATTACATTTTTATGAAGAACAGGAAGCTTATACGTGTTGTAGTGTGGCTTACCCTGGAAATGGACTTGACCTGAATGGGCTCACTGCTGGACTGGCGATCGTGCTCTCCCAGGATAACACGGTGGCTTCTAGGACTGAAGAGAATAAAAACATACAGAGGAAGTCATTACAGAGATAAGTCGTACAAAGTCGTTTTGTTTTTCTTTTGTTCTCATGCGGATGTGGGATATGGCGACATTACTTACGACACACGGCAATGAGCAGCAGTGACAACCCAGTACTGGTTGATCAGGGATCCCCCACAGAAGTGGAATCCCCTACCATCCTAGACGTGACAACATGCATATTTACAATATTTCCTTAATGGCATTTTCTGTATTACACAAGGGGTTGAGGTTGGAGGGTGCATTACGCACACTACCTGAAGTGAAACCTGCCAAGGCCAGGACCCAGACACAGCAGTCTGCCCATTGACAATCTTGTTGTCTCTCACTTGGGGCTTGATAGCAGGCACTCCACACCCTGTGGCCAGATCACACAACCCCAAAATTAACTGCTGTTCTGAGTATTATTATGTTGCAATCTTATTAATGTGGCATCAGCCAAACATTAGGAATGATACCTATGTGTGTTATCGCAAAAAAAAATAAAAAAGTTTCCTACAGATAAATACATCTGCTGGTAAACCGCCAGTCACTCACCCAGTGCAGAGGCCACAAGAGCCAAACAACTGACAAGCAAGAACATGGCTGTGTCTCGATCGTGATTCACTTCCCTGAGTGCTGGCAGTGGTGGACACTGGCTTTTATATGTGTAGTTATCAACACTTGATCCTGAGTTCCATGTGTAGCACTGCATATTGCAGGTACCCCCCCACCACACAGACACACACACATCGATTGGTCTGGGAAGAAAACATCTGGTTATAAGTGAAACATTCATCCACTAAGTCTTATGCTTGTGTTTGTCCTGTTCTTGTGCACATAGGTCATGGCTGTTAGCAAACAAATTGTTGCGTAATCATTCTATTGGTAAGAATTAACAACACTGCCCGTCGATATGCTGAGGAGAGAGGGAAAAAAAACGTTTTACAGTCCATGCATTCTTAAACTAAGGTGGATGATACATTTGCATCACAGTCTGTTGCGGTGTGTATGCTCTTGCTTTGCCTCCTTGTTTCACACCTCACACAAACAAGAAGCAACGCCTGCTTTTAATCAGATTTCTTAAAAAATGTCATTTCCTGTTTGTAATACTAGGCGACATACAGGAAGACAGATGTAGATCTTAACCACTGTGGTCTGCTTATAGGAACCAGATTTATCTACAGGTCAATCTACACATTTCAACAGCAGCATGTCGAGAGTCCCAGTGCACAGGTATTTTATGCACTGATAGATATATTGTATATCTGATTCAGAAATGTAATGGTATTGAAATATATTAATCACAATACACACAGAGTCCATTTTGCAAATCAGAATCCCGTTGGTAATCTTTATTGATTTAAAGTTCAGAAAACAAAAATGAAAAGAGGTGAGTTTTGATCCTTCATGCGAATCGTCACTAGAGAGAAAAATACTGAAGACAACAAATGACTCTGATTATGTCTCACGTGACTAAATATTCTAACTGTGTGTAGGCTAAGTGTCAGGCTTGGTTATCTTAAAAGTTCTGAACAAATGAATTGAACAGCACACATTTAAATAAAAAAGCCTGCAATCTCACGTATTGGATTTGTAATCAGTAAATAGCTTTGAGGAAGTATGTTGGGATCTGGGATGAGGATACTCTCAGCACAGTGTTTAGTCAACCTCCTCAATAGTTGGCCCAGAGGAAGAGCCACCTCCAGCTCCACCGGGGAAGCCACCAGGCATCCCTCCAGGCATCCCTCCTGGCATTCCTCCTGGCATTCCTCCTGGCATTCCTCCTGGCATACCCCCCTGATACAGCTTGGTGATGATGGGGTTGCACACCTTCTCTAATTCCTTCTGCTGGTGTTCGTACTCATCCTTCTCTGCCGTCTGGGTAACAGAAGCAACAAACAATTCGTTGTCATGGAGGACTTGGCAAGTTGGTAAATATTGCAGTTGTTTACTGTATTGAAATTACTTCTAAGGGAAGTAAAAAGTGGTTTCTGGCACAACTTCACCAATTCACAAGGTGCATGGAGAGTGAGGAAACACTGGAAAATGTCACAAGAGCTCCAGCAACACTTGTGGTAAGCAAAACAACTTCATTTATTGGCATCAGCTTGTGGCTGATGAAGGCCACAAGCCGAAACCCGTCAGTCAGTAAATTAAGTTGTTTTGCATAACACACGTGTTGCTGGAGCTCTTTTGACATTTTCTCAGGGAAGTAAGAAATTTGCTTAACATTGTTTTCATGATTTAGGGCACCATTCTACTTTCACAAAGTGAGCCAAAGAGGAACCTGTTTGAAGACTTATGGTTCAGTCAACAGTATTTTTACCTGGTTCCTGTCCAGCCAGGCAATGACTTCATTGCACTTGTCTACGATGCTCTTTTTGTCCTCGGGGCTGATTTTGTCTTGGAGCTTCTCATCCTCCACAGTGCTCTTCATGTTGAAGGCCAGAGACTCGAGAGCGTTCTTGGCTGTGACCTTGTCTCTCTGGGCCTCATCCTCACTCCTGAACTGCTCTGCCTCCTGCACCATCTGCTCAATCTCCTCCTTGCTCAACCGCCCTATGGGAGGATGAAATACAAAGCTGTGTACCTCCTGTGCGATATTTATTATTGTCCCTAATCATGTGTGGCATTTCTCTAGCTTCTGTACTACAACAGCTCCTGATTTAAGAAGTATTTAATATGTTTACCTACCTTTATCATTGGTGATGGTTATCTTGTTCTCCTTTCCAGTGCTTTTGTCCACTGCAGACACATTGAGAATGCCATTGGCATCAATGTCAAAGGTCACCTCAATCTGAGGGACACCTCTGGGAGCAGGTGGAATACCGGTCAGCTCAAACTTGCCCAGGATATTATTGTCCTTGGTCATGGCTCTCTCACCTTCATAAACCTGAAAACAATTACTCAGATCAGATTCTGTTGCATCAGTGAGCACTCACAGGAGTAACTGTAATATACCAGGGCAACGAGGAGTGAATTATTGTTTGTTTAGAACTTTCCTACCTGAATAAGCACACCAGGTTGGTTGTCTGAATAGGTGGTAAAGGTCTGGGTTTGCTTGGTGGGAATAGTGGTGTTCCTTTTGATAAGGACAGTCATTACTCCCCCAGCGGTCTCAATTCCCAGGGACAGAGGCGTGACATCCAGCAGGAGCAGGTCTTGTACATTCTCAGACTTATCACCAGCCAAGATGGCTGCCTGAACAGCTGTGAAGAGTTTCCAAATGGTGAAACTAATGCCATGATAAGAAAGCTTTCATATAAACCACTTAATTATGTTTGAATGGCAGCTTTGTACTAAAATAGTAAGATGACTATAAAATGACTATAAAACTAATGCTGTAGAGATACCCACCAGCACCATAAGCCACAGCCTCATCAGGGTTGA